GTGTAGAGTATTGGTCTATATTTTTTTCTTTTGACAACAATTATTCCTACACAAAGATTAAATCTTTAAAAAGAAATAATCACTCTCATAGCACATTTATTCTTAGCCTTTGAATGACTTTTCTATACCCTTTGAAACTTTCAATTTGAATTATTTTTTCTTATAACGAATCACTACTTCCAGTGAAGATTAGTTTCCAAAGTATGGCGTTGTTTTAGTTACTTGCCAACCGGATAGAAAAGGTTATTTTTATCATTTTACACCATCCAGTATTTATATTTTCTAGCTTGACTACTCGAGCATTTGATGAAGAGTTTACTACATTTTTAATGTCAATAGAGTACAATATTGAGCTATAAGAGCTCAATTAAGCAATTATAGGCTCAGAAATTAAGTCTCTTGATTTATGATAATTGCTTATGATTTTATTTATTTAAGTAATTTTATTATGTTGCTATTGATGATAATACAGTATGACAGAATACGAGAAGTATTTTTTTCAGTAGAAAAAGTAAGTCATGGATATTGCAACCAAACTTAGCTAACTAATGCTATTGGTAATAAACAATGAAATTTTTATATTGCTTTTATCAAAGTTAGGAGTAGCAGTAGCATAATTAATACGTGTGTTACAATTCAGAATAGTAATATCACTAGAAGTAAAATAGAGTAGATAAGATTTTATAAATTTACGGTACGTTTATACTTCAAAATGAGCGATCTTGTAGGCACAACTTAACGCTATCAATAACAACATAAATATCTTCCAACTACCCTATTGAAAAATCAAAAATCATATTTCAATGTAATAAAGATAAATTAATCAAAAAAATTCTAAGCTTGATCAGTTAATTCAATACGTACTGCTTAATGTCAAATTTAATTCAGTATTTATATACATGTTAAATTACGTATTACCGATTACCTTAACTACTAAATTATGAATAATCTAAATAATTGCAACTCTTACACAACATGATAATCATAAATTATAACCTTTTGTCCTAGAAAATTAATGTTGAACTACACTAAAGGTAGCATCATTAGCAGATTAGTTTGGTAAAAACTGTAATGCTAAATACTTCCTCTATAAAATTAGTTACCGGTCTACTTTCTAAATTTACTCTATCANATAGTTAATTCATTAGTTACTTCGATCAACAATACAATCTATAATCTAANTTGATTTATTATTNTCATGCGTCTAAGCTAATATTAGACTAACACACATATTTTAGTCTTATCTTAGTAAGTGGCATAACCTAATCTTATATGTATGCAAGGAAACTAATTTACGATGAATAGATGACCATTACTAACTTACCATCTTGATTTGAATTCTCAGCGTTTTACATTGCTGTTCCTTCCTTTCGACTAATCTCAGATTCTTGCAAAATAGACCCAAGACCTATCAATTTGCGTTAACAGAAGCGAGTAAAACATGTATAAATACCAAAATATTCGCTTTCTACTCATAAATACTAAACACATAAGTTTGCTTAATAGGCTCGATGTAATACCCTTGTAGGTATTTTAACACTATTCGATCTTTAAATGAGCTCTATTTTTAAGTGCACGCAAATACAGGAGCTGTAAAGTTGGGATTACTTTGATCGATGCAACAGATTCTATCAATTGACTTGCGATAGAGCAATTTTAGCTATCACAGGCCCTTTACAGCTAAAGCTGTACTTTCTAAATTACGAAAAAGCTATATTATTAATTACCGGTACTCGTTCTGTGCGTAATAAGCTGAAATACCAACTATTGATTTAGTTGAGTACAGTATAACAAAACGGTAAATTGAAAATCTAATTTCATTATATAGTTGATGTACTATTCTCTACTCTGATCATTTTATTGTTATTTCTACTCGAAAGTGGGATAATCATGTATCACATCGTTAAGTTTTAATCGTTAGGTCTATTCGTAAACTTGAATGCTTACCACTATTGACGTTTTCCACCGTTATTTCACAATATGTTAAAGCTTTGCAAAACTCATCAAAGGCTCTATCGCCACGCTCAAGCAGAATATCCAATAAAGTCCAAACTTTTCTGTAAAACAAAATTAAAATAATTACGATAACTGCTCTCCGACTACAAAATTTATTCTTGCAGTAAATAAACAAACTATTAATTTAGCCTGCCATTGCATATTAGATAGAATACTGTTTAACAGTTACTGAACATGTACTATATAAAAATTCCTTACTCAGAAGCCGTCAATTTAGATTCGATTGTTTGTTTGTGGAATGATGTTAATATACTCGCTCCAAGTAAATATTCACATATTGGTGAGATTTGATCCTGACATTTTTGAGCAAGTAACATTCGATTGGCTGTTAGGATTTCACGATGTTCTTGAGTCATTGATCCTGAGGACGCTTTGGGTAATTGAGGTAATTGGGTTTTTAGTAATTGCTCTTAATCATATTTGAATCGATCTAAAATTGAATTACTAAATGCAATTGAGAATGATTGATAGATATCAATTCAATAGAGGTTTACCTTTATCTTTGGTATCTTTCCATCGGTCTAAAGTAGTGGAATAAAAATAGCAATAATCGATTAATAGTTCTATCGTTCAAGTAATCAGTACAGTAAATTAGTGCCCATAATTCTTGATAATAATCAACTATTGTTTACGCTATTACAAAATCACCTTATATTAAATAGTAAAATAGCTATGATAGAGTACATTTATGCCTCTTTGCTTGCTCTAGCGTATGACTATAGTTTATTATATCATGAAAAGTGATAATATAAGAATGAAGCTGCTGTTTATTCTCACATGCTTACCTATCCAGAAATTTTCATTATAAATCATCCAATCGTTCAAAGATCGACTCTCAAAGTACATATTACAATGCTTACATTGAATGCAATTTTGATCTCCTTCCTTGTATTCTTCGGTTATACTTGTTTGTGTATTACATTCACTACATTTGACGAAATATCGACAATCAGCCCCTTTAAACTTGACCATCCTTTCATTGACAGTGGAGATGAGTTTATTCTTGACAATTTCGTGTGGCCGTTTGACAAATATAGAATTTTTAACTTTATCCTTAATCAATTGACTTGTCTTGGGCTCATTTATTTTCTGATAGCAATATTGTAAACCGATGTGAGATTCCTCTTTCTTGACTACAAGGTAATGATTGTCATTTTCTAAATAATATCTGGCACATTGATAGTACAATTTTACGTCCTTATTATTCCATTCCTTTAAACAAGAAGATAATAAGCAATAATAAATTCCATCTGGAAGATATGGAATATCTGTACGCTCGTATCCGATGTAGAGCCAATCTGATTGATGACATTTTGGTAAATCAAATGGCTTAACATCATCTCGTAAACAGTATG